TTTTTGCTTAATTTTCATATATTCTTCATAATTTACACCACAGTATTTATTACCAGTACATGAAAATTTCCAATGTTTTTCCATTCCTATATGGTTATAATTTCCCATATTCTTCGTTCTTTGTCCAGTATATACTAATCGATCACAAGAGAAACATATTGCTATTCCGATTTCAGGAGCATATGAACTGCCATCCGGAAATCGTATTAAATTCCTAGCTTCAAGATATTTTTTGCTATTATAAGGTAAGAGATCATTTTCTCTAAAATATGTAAGACGTTCCCAAATCCGTTTCATCCACTCACTGGGAGTTTCATTATCATGAATTTGTGGCAACTTTACATATTCATCCCATTCAGCATCAGTACAATTAGTTCCACGTAATTTACTTAAGCTAACCATTTATATGACTTATTTATTAATTATATGAGATTATGCGATTATATCGGATTTAACCTATTTGATTTAATAACTATATACTCTAGAATAATATGATTCAATTTTAGTGCGGATGATCGAAGAGTGCCTCATAGGGCCTGGGTTATTAGATGAGTTGTGTATATTCGTCATATTTTGCGAGTGATGTATACGATGAGAATGGGAGAGATCCATATTTATGTATAAATCGCTCATGTATATATTACGATCTATGTTTGACACGTAAAATCTATTTCGGGTGTGTGGATAATCGTTGCATAATCTATTTCGGGATGTTTTATTTATTTCTGGTGTATTACAAGCATATTTTTTAATTTTCCAGCGATAGGAATGTACGACACCCACCATTTGAGATTGCCCGGTCCGAGATAAACAAATCCGAGATATGCAAATCCGAGGCATACAAATTCAGTCTCACAGAGTGAGGATGCTATCGCATCTAATTATACTGTATTACTTTTACATGAAAAAAAATAAATGAACGTCCATAGATTTACACTGGTTAAAGTATGGTCAAAGTGTTGTGGTTGGTAAAATAATTAATTATACAATATGTCGTAATATAATATAGCCAAAGTGCGGTTATGTTAGTCTGAAATATACGATTATACGAGTCAGAGACTCTATGCGGAGCATATTGTTCTCTTTAATGCCAGTGGGACATATGATGAACTAGTTAACATCGCCCAACTTTTTTCGATATACTGTCGATACACTTGATAAAAATTTGCAAAGTAGAGGATGATCTTCTGATGAGTATTAATTACGATTTTCACTTCATAAGAAATAGTACGATTTTTTATTCATACATTCATGGTTTTATTACGTATGGCAAAATATATCAATATCTGGTTTTCCACGACACGCGTGTCGTGAGGGCGCAGTAATGTGGCGCAGTAATTCACTTCGTCGTCTTCAAACATTTTACAATTACGAAATCGATGTCATCTCGGCTTAAGGCTGAAATGGAATGTACAGAAAACGATCTAATTAACAATATTTTTTGTCTTGCTAACTTCTCATCCCCTTTAACAATAGCAGTAAAAAGTCTATGGATTTTTCGGACTCTTTCCATTCTTTTTCGTAAGCCACCATCTGTCACTTCCGCAGGAATTTGTTTCCTAACTTCATCAAAAAGTAGAGCATTCGCCCCTTCCTTGCCATTATCCTTTTTTAAATCCTTATATCGTTTATATAAAACCTCTCCAAAATCGAAATAACTACTAATAACTTCTCTGTTAGAAACTAGATATTTAGATTCGGATTGATCGATCTGTAACCAGTGTAACCAATGTAACAAACCGTTGTCATGTGGCCCAACTACAGAAATTGGGAATTGTCGTTTAGATGGCGTAGATTGAACATTTACCGTGGTTCAAATAAAGTCTTTTCCTCAAAAGATATCTGTGTGAATTGAGCATGGATTTTTTCCCATTCTTCCATAAGATTATCGAGCCATGCAGTACTCAAACCACTTTTTAGTATACCTTGACGCAATAACTCTTCACCGACCAGCCTCTCCCGATCTGTTAAAAATTTATGATATTTTCTAGTGTCTTCTTTCCTATTTATCCCGCCTTTATAGAAACGTATATCTCTTTCCAAATCCCCACGAAAACATTCTCCATCCCATCTTTTTTTCTCGGCCTCAGTAATGACCGAAAATTTCTCGGGATCTATTCCATGTTCGATGGCATATTGGCGTAAACTAACCTCTGGCCGATAAATTTTATTTAGATTAGTCCTAGAAATTGATGATTGAGGTTTGTTTAACACACTTTCCTGCGAACTCTGTATGGCGATTATAACTTTCTTTTGATCAATACGAAATGGACAATTAAGAAAATAGTGATCATCTTTACCTAGATAGCTCCAATCACCCCATATGCCTCGATGTGTATGTACCTCTTTGCATACAGGGCATTTAGCTTCTGAATCGGTATATTTAAATACATCTCGATGCCATGCATTCGAATTAGTGTAAGACAAGAAAGGGAAACGTTTATGTACTGCTTCATGGATTATACTATTTTCTTCCGGAAACTTAGAAATTTTGATGATACAGTCTCGTGAAAGATGATTGCCAGCATCCTCTTCGATTTGTTTAGATTCGGAAGTTTCAGAGTTTATCCAGGGATCAAGTCCAGTTTTATTCTTATATCTATTATAGAACCTAGAACGAGTTTTATCTGACAAAATGCTTGGTAATTCTAATTTGGCTTCCCACTCCAAATATTCGGGAGTTAATGTTTTATGACTTGTAGAGTCGCCCCTAAAGGACCTGGTATTTGTTTGTGTATCCATGTTCCCGTTTTATATGATTCTATCCCTTTAAATTAATAGCGGGAATAATCAACAAAAAATAATTTACATCAGAGAAACTTTAAAAACTTAAGTGAATTATATATTAGCATAAGATAGCGGAGCTAGTGTCATTGACACCTAAGGTTTATGCTGTTATCTCGATTTTAATTCCACGCTGTTCACATTTAATAAAATAGGTTCCATTTTTATATCTGCCTCCTATACCTTTATCCTCATAATGATCTGACTTGCATAGCGGGCATAAAGATTCATCAGTAATTCCATAATAATCATCGTTTCCATCACTGCCTTCCCAATATAAATCAGGATATTGTTCTTCCATTTTATTACGGAAATAGGCACGGTTATGAGCCGGATTGGTTGGTGTACTTACCAGTAATGATTTATCTTTCTCACTTAAAAACTCGTCTTCATCATCCTCACCATCAGAGGATTCCGAGTTAGAATCTGAAAAGCTATCAATTACAGTTTCTGAAAATTCGATATTTTCATTTACTATATCTTCCGAATTAGAGATATGAGATGATTTAATAGAGGGAGTAGTTGTAATACTTACCTCGGTTTCCGGTAAAATTTTCTCGGTTTGTTCAGTCACGTGTGCGTTACAATTTGTAACGCCGATCTTTTCTTGATATTTAACAGAAGAATCTACACTAATAGATTTTTTAGGAAAACAGTCTATAATATCTTGAATTTGGTTGTCAGTTAAACTCGAAATTGCACTTGCACTACATGTGATTACTTGAATCTTTTCTATTCCTATTCCCATAAGTAATGTATAGATTTTTTTTGCTCTGAATGTTCTTTGACGCAAGTTTACATCAGTTATATCCGGAAGAAGTAATTTGATTTCATTATACACCAACGTCCTTGCTGATTGGTCGTCAATTTTATTTATATATTTAACATCTTTGATTCGATCCTCGTATACTTTATAATAGCAATACCAACATAAAATTTCCTTTTGTCTAACTTTCATTGCTATCATAAATAAATCGGCTATATTTTGTGTTGTAATTTGGTTAGATCCCGTTATAATTACTTCTAACGAGAATTCGGGAATTTGTATATCAAACACATCACTAATTTTATTATGATTTCCTTTAATATACATAGATAACTCGTGTCTTAAGTCTTGTTCTACTCTTTTATTGTATGGAATTTTTATTCCGGTATTTTGTGCTTGATCAGTAGGCATTGATTCTGATTTGGTGGTTTTATGCTCATGGGTAATTTCGGCCTTTAGCCGGCTTGCGCCGATAATAGGATTTATTTCGGTAGAAATCGCATTTTGTGTATCAGAAGAGGAAGATGTTTTTTGCACCATTTGTTGCCCTCGGTAAATCTTCTTTTTCCTATTTCTTTCTCTTGCCATATTACTAACCCTTTCCTTTTCCTGTAATTCCAAAAATTCATTAATTTCTTTCTCTTCCGATGATACATGAATGAGAGATGTGAAATCCTTTTCCTGGTATATATCAGAAGAATCGGATGTTAGATACTTCACATCATCAGGTGCATCATTGGAACTATCGTTAGAATTTTTCATTTTGATAGAGATGGTATTAACTGAAGATTGATCGATTCCCTTGGCATCATCTAATTTAACAATAAAGTTGTTCTTTTCATCGGTTTGCGATTGCTTCTGTTCTAATTTCGCAACTCTAGCTTTAAGCTCAGCATTTTCAACAGCAGTATCTTTATCATTCTGTTCCAGTTTCATAAATCTGGATTCATGTTCTTCCAAAGCTTGTTTTAATTTTACGTTCTCAGCTTTAAGTTCGATGTTCTCGGCCTCAACTTCGGAAAATTTTTTTCTAAGTTCAGGAATTTCGGCATTCTCTTTTCTAAGTTCAGTAATCTCGAATGCAAGCTTAGAGTTTAATTCTCTCAAGGTATTGATTGTTAATTGATCGTTTGACATTTGTTTTATTACAAAATAGGATATATTCAAAAGGTTAACCGCACGAAAAAAAAATATTGGTAATAATCGTGATAACTTTATTGATTGTAATAAAAATCAAAAATAATCAAATCTATCTATTGTTCTATACTATTGACTACACTATAATTTTTTCGAACTCTAGAGAAGGTTGAAAGTTTATATTGCCTGTGTTAATAAATTTCTCGGAATCTGTACGAAAGATCGGTCATAAGTTTGTAAGTCCAGAAGATGGCTCATTGGAATGCACTATCACAAATGAAGTATTCATACCTTAATTGCGTGTTCGGAGCTTTCGACTAAAATAATGATTATTTCTGATTGCAGGATTTGATTGAACTCAGTATGCGAGTATTACCTTAACAATGCGCATTCGTGAACTTGAAAGCAGACAACGTTAAAAATTTTTACAATAATGTAATAGTAGTAAAGTTAATATATTTTTACAGCTATCAATTAAATAAACCATTGTCAGTCTGAGATTGTGACATGTGATCAAAAAATCAAAACATCATACGTGTCTATTAAACTGATTGACGTGAAATCGATCAACAAAAATATTTCTTTCACCACTATTAAGGCAAGTTGAAATCAGATTACTTCTGGCGACCCACAATATCTGACACCCGTATGGCAGAGCGAGATTGTTTTATTATCTAGTTAATTCCTGCGGCTGTTGTTTAGAGCAAGGCGTAGGCTATCCTCTTTGACCCATTGTTCACTCGTTGAACTTTCCTCATTGTAGTTCACGCTTTCGTTCTTGTCTCTAGTATATTGGATGTAATACTTCCTACACCTGCAGAGCGAAGCTTAGCAATTGCGTTAAGTACCTCTCTGTGGCTGATGCTTGGTAGGAGAGTTGTGGGGATACCCTCTTTGACTCATTGTCCTGGACAATCCTCATTGTAGCTCACTCTTCCGCTCTCTGCCAGAAAGTATTACATCAAGCCAGTATCTTTGTGTTGCGTCTGTCTTTTGCTTTTTGCACTTTTCTTTTGTCAGCGCTAATAATAATTTTATTACGTATACAAGGGATGGATTTCGAAAATCATATCAGAAATTACTTTCAGTCGAACGATTATACTAAATGGAGTGTATTGGAAGTTCTGCGTTACATATCAAACAACATTAACTTCACAAATGAAAATTTGAATGATATTAGCGATTCTTTAAACAAACAACTAGAAGATTATCCAATCAAAAAAATCTTCGCTTGGCAGCAAGAAATAAGGCATTGAAGCTTCTTGAAAACTTGGAGAGAACTCTAAAACGAAAAGATATATCAAGTTTTCTTGAAAATCAGGACCTAAAATTCGCTGAGGTTGGTAACACCTATCTATTGTGTGTACTTTACGATTAAAGAATAACTTTTAATATATTATTATAGGGTCGATATAAAGTAAATGTTGAATTAAGTGTCGTTACCGACAAGACGGCTATGACAGGAAAGACTAGCGAAAAATTTGCAAAAGTAGGTATTATTTAATAAATTCTTGGAAAATAAACCAATCGGATAATTTTATTGAGATCTCTTGATATACTCCAGTCTTTAAATAACGATCATGACATCAGGGGCTCTGAAAATCAAGATTCCATTACAAAAACACAGACTACTATTAATAATGAACAAGAAGAAAACAAACAGGAGGAAAGTAAACAGGAAGAAAATAAACAGGAAGAAAGTGAAGGCGGAGATGTAATTGTCGATGAAAGTAGTGTTAGTAAAATTCGTCTCTGGTAAATATTTTCTGTTGGTATTTTAGGAAAAATAATGATTTTCTATTTTCTATAGACGATGTGTGTTAAGGATATCCTTGAAGACTCGATTGAAGTTTCATCCGTCATAAAGGAAGTTACAAAAATCTTTTTAAGTAAATTCCCTAAGACATCTATAATGGATCTGCGTCCAAAATCAAAATTTTCATTATTTCTGGATTTGGAACTTCAAAAAACCATTTTGCACGAAGTTTTTGATGAAATTGACAACTATATTACTGATGATATCCACGAATACCTTACATCGTTTTTCAATGAAGATTTCACTGCACAGGGCTGGGATAATGCCATCAACAATATGGACTTCAATAGATGTGATTCAGAACACTTAAAGAATATTAAAAAATTAATACAGGAAACTTTACCTAAATTGTAAGGACAAGAGAGAACTTACGCAACTTATTATAGTAATATTTGTCCAATTTCTATCTATTTTTTATTCGTTTTAGTTTAAAAGCGTTTTCATTGGAGGATCTTAATCCGTTGAGGGATATTACAATTCTGGAAAAACCGCATCTTAACCAGTTTGTCACCCTATAATTGACTCGGCATTGTGGAATTTTGCCAAGGTTAATTACATATAGTAAGTAGCTTTGAACCTATGTTTATCTACATAAATTATATTATGAATAAAATGTTTTTATATATATAGTGGTGAAATACCTTTGAAAGGTCTTGGAACTAGAATACGGGCCGATGGAGTAGGATTTCTCAATGACGTAGTAAATTACCCTATAGTATGTGGTGAGGGAGCACGACCGGGAGCGCCACAAAAAAAAAGTGTGGATGACGATATAAAGAATGCAAGTAGTATGGCAGTATTATATAATAATAATGTTATAGAAGAAGCAGATGCACGCCGACAACTTTTTACAGACTTAAGAATTTATGGTTTAACTGCTTTTAAAACTGAATTGTCACTGACAATGATGGACTTTAGAAGTATGTATTACATAAATTTGTATTGAAACGTTCCATATAATCAGGAAGTTAATCATTCAATTCCAGGTGTACATAGGTTATTCGAGGTTGATCATTTCGGCCTACCAAAAAACTGGGTTGATATGCCAAACTTTGTGTGGTTATACGAGGCAATAATCAAATGGGCTGTAAGTACTTACATGCTTTCATTATCTATCTGCATTTTATGTGCTTATCAAATTAACAATTGCATTTTTTTGTAAATATAGTTATGTGTTAATTCAACACGAAATGGATTGATCGAACATAGAAAGAAAAGAAGGGTGAGCCGATACTCTGAAGTTGGCATCGCAAAAAAATTAGCATCATTAAGGGATCAACATGAATAGACGTTATTATTTCGTGTTGAGGTTAAAATATTATTTCAGGAATCTGATAGTTAGACTATGTAGAGGATATTTCTTTGATCTAGTGAATTCATATTTTGCTCTATGCAATTATGTTTTGTTCAGTGTTCTCTTGGAAATTAATAAAATTCTACTTAACCATAACAATTACACATTAATATAAAGCTCTATTAATAAGACCTAATTCTCGATGTTCCAGAATAACTTAACTATGTATGGGTCTTGTAATACCAAACTTACTTTTAAAATAATTCGGTTTTCTTCGTACAACTCTTTCTTGAGTAGATCCTGCTCTTGCTAAATTATTTGGGTCACCTCTATGAAAAATTCGTATTTTTGGTGTTGCATTCCTTGAAGTTTTCATAAGGCACAGATTTATTCAAAAAAATCATGTGCGCGTTACAATTTGTAACGCCGATCACTTTTGCCAAGAAAAAAATAAAAATAAATTAGGAAAAAATCTTAAAAATTCGGAAAAAAAATACACGTATATCTTCTTTATTGTTACAAATAAAATATAGGTACATAGATATCAGTTACGTGATAAAATACAGTTAAAAAAAACGCTATCTATTTTTTGCTAATTTTCTGGATACGACGTTTCTTAATATCATGCCCATCACACATTGCAATCCTATCCCTTAATAACCCCACGATTACACCTATTACCGCTTTAACGCCTTTTCTAATCGATTCAAGATCCTCCTTCAATGCGGTTTTGGATAAATTAATCCGATATTCACTTTTGCTGGTACAATATAACCCTTCCGTAGCGAGTTTAATAAAATGCCATTCCGTGGCTAGAAAAAATAATAATCGATCAAAGATAGGTTAATGCCAGAGTGTATAATAAATCTGAGATAAAGGCGCTAATAGAGATATTTATACCTGTAGAAACTATCCCGTAGAGATAATCATCGTCATTTTGAAATGCTTGATCCGCGGATCGTTTTCTTTTATTCATATGGCTCGCACTTTCCAATTGCTTTATATTTTGAAGGTACCCAATTTCAACGTTACGTGGTTTTCCTTCCGCTATACATATAAGATCTTCATACCCTTTTATTGAATAGTCAACACGTCCAGAGCTATCTTCGCCAGATACGTCATCTTGGTATGCAATATATATTTTTTCGTTATTAGTGAGATTTCGAGTAATTGTTATTGATGCGTTTAGAATAGATGTAATAAAAACACAGCGGGTTGCTTCATTGGTACTGTCTTGTATGGTTTCCAAATTCAAAAGTCTTAGTATAATTTCTTTCATACATCGCTTGAGAGCTTTTTCATCATCAGCGATTTCTTCATAAACTGTAGGGGTAGAGCCCCATTGCCACGCAATAGAAAAATATATAAATATGTGTTTTAGATATTAGCTCTGCTATACAAGTATTCTTTTACGAAAAAGGAATATATATTATTTACCTGGATTAAATTGTTTTATACACGTAATTTTTTCACCATTGACTTTATATTTCTTGAGCAATGCCTTCAATTTATCTAATGTATTATATGACGAGAAAGCCTGTAATTTCGTTTCATTAAGCTCTTCGACAAAATTTGCTAATTTAATAGTAGGGCCACTTTTGAACCCAAAATTTATAAAGTCGCCTTTGTTAGTTTCAAAAAAGATAAGCCATCTATTTCTTGTTTACGAAGAATTGCGAAATGGGAATCCTTAAGCTTTAAGCCACTCCTATCCAAATAATCGATAAGCTCCTCAGTATCATAATCCTTTATTACATCTCCCATGGTACGAGTTATTTCTTCTTCACTAGAATATATGCTTTCAGGCGAGGAAGGCGAAGGTGGAGATACGCTTGTTGAGGACATATTTTTTATATTTGTATATGGCGTAAAAAATCTGGTTTATGCGATACGTTTATGAGATAAGATAATGTAGGGAAGAAGTAAAAAATTTTTTGAGGTGAATCAGTGGCTAATTATAGAATATCGATTAAGCAGGTTATAAAATTGGCAGACATACGACGATCTCGGAGATTGCGGAGATTCTGACTTCCTAAGACAGGGGAACACTAAAGCCGGGTAGTGCAATTCGGATCGAGTCAATTCAGATATGATCTGGGTTGATTTGATCCGATTTGCAAGTCATTTTCATATGCGAAAGAAAAAAATTTTGTTTATTACAAGGATGTAATAAACACATTGATAAACATTATTTATTGCAAGGCAGCATTGCTTTTTTTAAGGGAGAAGGGGAAGGAGAAGGGGAAGGAAAAGAGGACTAAGATTATTAAGAATATATTTTTGGTGTCAAATACAAGCTATAAGTGTTATAATAACTTACCATTTCTAATACCGTATATTCTTTATATAATAATAATATATAAGAAACCAATTCTATGCATACTCACCATTTCTAATATCATATACTTTTCATTTCATTTCTCTATCATATAACTCATTTAATACATATACTCAATATTTTTACAATTTTTTATTTGTTTTTTTTTCTAATTTGGTTTGCCAACTTTCTCGTTCCATTACTTTATATTTATTTATCATTCTTATTTAAGTTTCCCAATATTTTTACTTTAATTATGTTATAAGTGATCAATCAAAAATGCACAAAGTTATTTAATATTGATATATCATTCAAGATCTCAGAAAAAGAATTCTGCGAGGACTTGTGACTGCTCATTTCTAATGTATGGACGTGATATAATAGTTAGAAGTGTGTTAATGATGATTTTTAGATCATCTATATCTGTCATCTTGCAAAACATAATGAATCAAGCACACGCAAAGAAGATATCCCCATAGAAAAATGAAGAAAAACAAGTAAGCGTGATTCTGATGAATATAATATAAAAATTAAGATAATACATATCGCTACTCTTTAAATGATCAAAATTGAGTATTTTAAAAATATGCCGAATCATACACATTCAATCAATGACAATGACAAGATTAAGTGACCTGAGATCATTAGAAAATTAGTAGCTAATGAAACAAGTAAATTGTACGCTCCATCCACTATCATAGCTACAGTTAAAGAGATTGCGAGTAAAGAAGATCTTGATATCATAATTCAAAATCTACACAGAATCAAAGTCACAAATATCCAACAAAAACTATGCAGACTACTGATAACTCATCTTATTGGCAAACATGATCTAGAAGCTAATATTAAAAATACACTCAATTTTTTAATAAGTAAGGATTATTGAGTCGAATACTTCTCAATATAAAATGACACACATGCAGACACATACAACATCATGCAAAAATCATCCCAAGATTTTATTTTTGTGAATCCTGGACAGTTAGAGAAATTATGACTTTTTGGGTGACTAACACTCATAGACTTCACACATAACACCAATAAACATTCATGACGTCTCTTCACACTGTATGTTTGTAATGGTTACAGATGCTGGGATGTTGGTGCTCATTTTTTTATAAGCAGTAAAGATAGTAGTACCATTACTAAAGTGCTGAAGGCAATTTGTAGACTTGCGTCTTGTTGGCATTCTTGATACATGCTCTCTGATCAGAGCAGTATGGAGATCAACAGCATCATGAATGCTTTTCCAGGAATTATACATAGTAAATAAAACTGTGATATAATTCTTTGCACCATATATGTGATGTGTACATGGCTGTGCAAGGTTTACCATCCAGTAACATGCAATCAATTGGCCTTGGCTATGCATAAATGAATAAGAATTGGCTGCGAAGAGATCATCTATAATACTGTTGCTGCTTGTCCTGTACCTGATATCATCAACTATATTAATCAAAATTATATCAGAAATATGGAAAAATAGGCACTCTGGACATGACAGTATTCACCCCTCCTATTGCAAGTCATCTCGACTAATCTATTAGAGTTCTTCTATAGCGAGCTTAAAAGAATAACAGCTAAAGAGTTTGATCTTATAGGTATCACGCTTGCATAATAATATTTTTTATTGTAATTCTCTACTCATCAAACACTTACATTAATATTAGAAGTGTGCCACAAGATTGCTGATCTTGATAGTAAAAGGCAACTTGACTCTGAAAAGGCTGCCTTCAATTTCCATCAGAAACAAATTTCCATAACTGACCTTGATGATGAGATTCTGGAGAAAGTTCACAAATTTCTCTATCCCATTCAAAAACTGATTGCAGGTGAGGCCATTGCTATAAGTGCGAGAATCATAAAAGAAAAGCCACTGCCAAATCTAATATCACCAGCGTACTCTTATATATTCTTTCATCATTATCTACTTTCTTGTCGATATATCCTCTATGAGCATCTTTTTGGTCCTAATAAGTTGCTAATGATTGATATTTGGGAGAAATTTTAACAAATGTTCACGGAGACCGGATTTGAAGTATATGAGCACCATAAAATGATCGAAATATTTAAACCTATTCAGATTCAAGCAGAGAGAGAGATGAAGATACGAAGATTATAGGTAGGTAAGCTTTTAGAAAGAGTGCAGAATAAGTATTGGGAAATTAAGGATGAAGATGATAATGATACTACTAAAGTATTTGTTACATGTTTGGATAAGTCGTTGGATCCAATTTTTAAAATTGCAATATAACAGTTTATTATTTTACAAGTCAATTAATTTTATAATTATGTTTATTGCTATTATTTTTTACAAAAAAATAAATGTGCTTTATTCTGATCATTATGAGCTTTATTCTGATCATTATGAGCTTTATTCTCAATTGTTAATCAATCAATATTATGGTCATCTATTAATCAAAATTATTCAGCCAATCATTACTTATCACGTGTATTTTTTACATTTACTTATCATGTGTATTTTTCATATGATTTGGATTCAGATTGAATCCAAAATCACATGATACTACCTAGCTTTAGTAGATCCCCTAAGACATAAGTTCTTTAATATACGCTACTAATAAAGATAACCAGTCTGCCCTTCTTATTGCCTTTTCGAGTCTTGTTTACACTTGTTCTTGTCATGAAGTATGTATAATGATAAATATTCCCATCTAATAATGTATAGTAAAAATATAAGAATTATTTATGTTATACAATTACTTCAACTTCTATACTGATCTCTGATTCATTAGTTAATATAGTCCGTAATATTTTCCTTACCTCATACTATAATCACTATACATCTGCCAATAATGAGAAAACATAAATTAGATTTAAAAGAACTATAAGAGGAATAGATTTATCATTCTTTATTAGTAGTTAGATCAAAAATCATATATTTTAGAAATTCAGAATTTCCAGATTGCCAAGATCGTTATCTTTTTTATTTCGCAGAAAGATCATTAAAATTAGAGATATTTTACCAGATGCAATCACAGACAAAACCTGACTTATGCTAAGCAATTAACCAAAAAAATAATGAAAAATACTTGGTTTTTAGAATAGACTGAAGAAATGAGATGCTATAAAATACTTTGTTTTTTTCTTCTGTAAGTGGGTATCAATAACATTTTTCAGCACTAATTTCAAAGTATATACCGCTATTTATTATACCACTATTTATTAAGACTATAAAAATATATTTACTTACTGCAAACTTTGTATAGGAATGTAAAAATGAGCAGTACTAACAAGACCAATACCCCCAAGAACAATGATAATAATACCTCCCAAAGTAGGAATATTTCTTTCAATGTTTTCAGAACTATCATTCAAATACTATCTAATATAAGATCTAGTCAAAAAACATCCAATTCTAATCATCAATGTAATACTGGGAGAAATAGGCGTGGTAAGACTCGTTACATACATATGAAGTTAAAAAATATACATATCTAATCTGTGCATTAATTTAGATAATCTGGACTATGAACCTAAAGATGATGATAATTTTCATGCAAGAAATCCTCTTTATTACATTTCTAGAGAATATGCACAATATTGTTTAGATAATGATGATTATTCTTGTTTAAGCCGTAGGAATGCATTAAATATTCTAGATCAATAGTTATCTGATTTATAGTGAAGCTAAATCAAATCTCTTATTTTTTTATTTGTATAATTCTCATTTGACAATTTTTTAAAATAAAGAGATCCCACTATATATGCAGATTTCACACATGTCATCACTTCTCTGGAGTCTATTATTGCTTCGCAATGGGCTTTGCCCTATAATATCATGTGATTCAAAGTTATGATGTGATTATAATTATTTTCAGATTGAATTTGCTATATTCACTTAATTTATATATTTATGCATTATTTTCTATATTAATTATATTACAATATTATAACAATCATGACGAGTAATACTAATAATAAATCCAATCAAAGCGAAATATTTATTTTTTTATATGAAGTACTTTTATATAAGAAGAAGGATATAACAGCTATTCAGAAAAAACTTGGTATTAATAGTAATATATAGTAAATCAAATGGCAATGTCAGAGAGCAAGAAATTAAAAAATCTTAATGATTCATATGAATTATTGTTAGAATTGGTGGGAAATTTAATATCTATATAGAAGAAACTTGGTATAGATATCAATCCCATTTTAGAAGTAGAACTTAGAAGGGATAAAATCTCATCAGATAAACCAATTAGATTATTTGATTTGCTTTTATGTTTAGAAGATGATATAGTGATAATTCAGGAAAAAATTGATATTGTTGGTTATTCTAATCAAGAAAGAGCAGAAGAAGCTGATGAAAATACAAGAGCATATCTCTGAAAGTTTAAGGAATTTCATGGTCTATTAGAAGATGATCTAGGTGTGTTAATAAAGAAATTCATTAACAAGAGGATAAAAATGTTTTATTTTATCAGAGAGGGGTTCCCATTATTTCTGAATATTTCTCCTTAACAATTACATGAAATTTTCATAAAAAATTATGCTAGTACTGATCAGTATCCATATCTTGGACAGGTTAGCTAATCTAATTTACTTATCATTTTATGCTGATTATTTCATCCTATTTCCTGCTACTATTTAAGGATGGACTTAGTAATTTCAAAATATAGGCTAAATACCTTATATCAAGCATTTAGTAAGGCTAACATTCTAGATCCAGAACATATGCTCACTATATCTCAAATACTGCAGTAAAAAATAAATATATTATTTAGTAACTTGATATGTATTATAGTCTGAGTCTTCATAACTCGAAGTTATATTTTTTTTGTAATAATCTATGTATTAGTAAAATTCTAATTGACAGATCTAACCCAGCCAATTTTTTCTAAATATTGGGTGGTGGTATCCGGATTTAAATATCTTATTTTAATATATAATTCGATTTCCTTGATGGTTGTATAGGTAAATTTATATTTAGAAATATCAAGCTCTTGGATTCTCAGATAAGAATGAATAACATTCCAAATTATTATTTCAGAAAATTCTTTATAATTAGAAATATTCAGATATTCTAATTTGTGACATGAATTTGCAATTGCATATAGACCTTTGTCAGTTATTAATCCACCATAACACCTCTTTGCCAAGTTGAGATACTCCAGATTGGAGTATGATTCTGCTATTCAATTTAACGTATTATCACCCAAATCTTATACTATAATATAAATTTAAATAAATTATATTTGAAAACAGATGTATAACACCTTTGAATTTTTTATCTGAAAGTGCATAGTAATATGAAATTTCCAGATGGATTACATTTAAATAATAAATTAACCTATGTTTATTACGTATTATTTTCATAAAATTTTTTTGTATGTTACTTTTCTTTAGCTCAACATAACACCATAGAATAGAAGCACTGCAGTGATACCAAAATCAATTAACAAACAAAGCAGGATAGAGGAATTAATCGATTTCTAAAAAATATAAGATCTGTTCTAGTAATTCCGGTAAATCAAAAATATTTAAATCCTTTGGGGAATTGGAAATTCAATATTTTGCATCATCATTACTCTGTAATAGTTACATTATTCTCAAGTAATATATATTATATATCTTTAATCAAAAAAAATAACTAATGTTCAGATAATTAATTTAGGTGCACTTTTAAATCCATATTAATAAAATAATTTAATATTTACCCAGATATTTCTCAGTAACATATTTCATGCAAAGCTAGAAAAAAACCAATTTTTAGCACCCCTGATACTTGCTTCACTAATAATACTACATCTGAGTTCTCATTCACATCTGAATCTGGATCTGTATTTGAATTATCTAGCCATGAAGTGACTGTCTCCGGCAATAATGATAAAGATTTTACTGTGAAAGTGGTGAAAGCAAAGAAGCGTGATTAGTAATTGTATAGATCTATAATATCTGATATCTTAGTATTTTTTTTCTCTAGTCATTGGAGTAATTGGTCTGTCATTCATCACACCATAATGATCTAATGCTATATTAATTATCTTGTGTCTTAATACCAATTGACAGAGATGTTTACAATAGATATCGTTCTTACCTTCATGAATTGTAATAGCATGTTCAGAACTAATTTTTCTCAAATACGATAAGCTTATTCCATAAATTACTAGAAAATTATTAATTGAGTAGACGTTTACATCATCATATTTATCTCTTATTAAAAATGGAAATTTATTAGAAATTGCTTTTTGGATCCAAATAAGTAATTCTCTAGTCAGTAGTGAATCTTTCTCTATAGATACTAATAGTCTAGATTCGTCTTTTTTATTTTTAACATATCCAGTGCAATACCAAGAATATTTAGGATTATACCATTTAGTAGTATCTGCTTTATAATACTTAATACAAAGGTTTCCCACATCTGCCGGTCTCATACATAACATTATCATTATATTGATTAAATTTTGCATAGAAAGAGATTTTGTTATATCACACTTACTAAGTCTTTCCTGAATATTTTCCAGATAAAAGAATTCTAAATAATCAAACTCCTCATCTTCATGGAATTCCTGATTTATTACTTATTCTTTATTTGATTTTTGAGTAATATCAGGTATATATATTATTTCTAATGTAAGATATTTAGTATTAAATATACACAATTTTTTTTGAAATAATTTAAGATATGAAGATTGAGCTATTACAGTAGGAGCTGTTTTAGCTAAGTTATATGCTAGCATATTTATTTCTTTGAGTTCAAGATTATCTTCATTTTTCTTAATATATTGAGCAAGCTTTTCAATTAGGTTTCGCCCTGTAACATGCCTCCTGGAAGCCTGGATAGAAATTAAAATATATGTTTGATCTTTGCTAAATTCTAATTTTTGGATTCTATCCTGAGCATGATTACGGGCTTTATAATCTTTAATCTCTTTACATATTTTTTCAGCATAATTATCAAGCTTAGCTATACTTATCTGAGGAGTTAAGTTATACTGATTTACAAAATTTATAGCTATTTTGGATATTATTATTATGGTATAATTTTGCGGACTATAATTATGAAATATATTTTTTCAAATCAAAATTAATTATCCACAGATAGCTATATCCAAAAATTGAATGAGTGGTGATTAATGTAATTCTAATGAGAAATAAATATGAATAAGATACAAGATAAATCGAAAGTTTTAATCTATATATGCCAGATATATAATATACATCAATGCTTTGGGTCAGATCTGTCGATTTGAAAGTTATCAATACATAGGATATAATAAAAAAAATTTATAGCTTCAAGTTATGGTGACTTAGGCTATATTAACATCATTTAGTACTATATTTATTTTTTATGTGTCAAAGATACTAGCTTTACTATAATACTTGGAATAGATTCTAGTATTTTTCTATACTTATGGACCATTTCTTGTAAATATCAAGTCTATTTTCCATTATATCAATTGGTGGTATCATAGCTAGATAGGACAGAGCATTCATAAATCTAATTTGCTTAGGATAGTAATAATCCATAATATCTGGTAATTATAGAAATTCAGCTAGATCTTTTACGTACTTGAAACCATTGCATATTAGTCTGCAGAATATTGGTTTATTGTGATCAATCTCTCTTTTGGTTAATAAGTTAACTATTTTCTGAGGTATTTCCATTGGGAGTTACTAGTTATGAAAATGATAATAGTTAATTATTACTTATGAAAATGATAAGTTTATTTGATTATTTTTCTTTTTTTCCTCTATATCTCTCAGAAAAAAGATGTATATATTAACAGCATTTATCTGGCTTCAAGATTATAGACTGAGAAGATGGGATACATATCTAATAAATTACTTTATATATACAGATATTAAACATGTAAAGTTTCTCTTATATGCTTTTGTTTATAATATTTATATACTCTTTCCCTATCTTGATCATATAAAATATAAAGCTAAAGACTCGATTTAGTTCCTCACTCACATCCTTTATATGATTAGAAGATTATTAAACCCTTTTGAATCTTAAATGCATAGGTAATATAATATTGTCCTTTTGCTAGGATCTTGCATAAATGGATTTTTCTGACTAATAACTAATTACAAGGCATTTTATTATTCTATATTCACTTTTATATTTAAATTTACTTTTTTCTCATATATTCAAAAAAAAAAGCATCACAAAAATCAGTATATTGATAATATTTTTATTAGAAATTTTTATATTAACTAGTTTGTAGAGATAAAAAATCCATCTTATTCGCATCTTAATATATAGTAATCTTACCATAGATACCTATTTTTCTAAAGTATCACTATATTTTTTGCCTATTTTTCATCATCATAAATACATATATATGATCAGAGTTCACCTTTATCTTCATATCTCTAAAGATTAATCTTCATACATATTAATTTTTCTCACCTAAACAATTCCATATACTCCTCTGGATCATTCTCATCTTTTCATGCAAAATTAATTATCTCTGCATCTGCCATCATTTTATCATAATAAATTATTATTAAATTCCTATCTTTTTCAGTTATGGTTATGAACTTATTGGGATTCTTGTCATATTTAACCGCAGTTTTTCTTAAATGTGTCTCCCTTTCTTCTCGGATTAAATAGCCAGATAGATATATTTCCAATTGGATGTTAACTTCTTTATTGCTAGATTTTAGTTCGTTATTTACAGGTAAATCAAGAGATATCTCGGACTTATTATTTACAGATCCAGCTTCATTACTCACTAATTCTATAAATTTGGATTTATTATCTATAACTTCTACATCCACGATCTTGAAAGGCAGAGATATATCAATAAACTTGGATGATGAAGTAACTGGAAATTCTGATTGATCTGTTATAGAATCGAAGAAGTCTTGGATTATTTTAGTAATAGGTGGAACAGATATTATTTTCTTACCTTTTTTGATATGATTAGTGATCAATGTCTCAACTATCTTTTTTTCTAATTCAAATATAATAACTTTAGGTATGTCAAATACAGAAATATCTGTGGATGTGTTAATGGATATCTCAGTTTGAGATAAATCAGAAAATTCTTCTATATCGATACTCAATTTACGTAGTTTACTTATGATTTTGAATTGATCAAGAATATAGATCCAGTCTCTTTTTCCATTAATTTGTGCTTGCTTGCATTCTATACTAATTGTTGGAGAAGTTTTTCTAAATTTTTTGTTAGTAAATGGATTTTTACCATTTCTTTTATACCAAATATGATATTTCTGATATAAATTTGAATATATTGAATTCTCAGTTCTATTTTTAGGCCAAGATGAAATATGTTCAATTATAAATCGAGTAGGATTTGACAAATATTCTAGCATTATTTCTATTTTTATTTTAGTAGATAGAATTTTTTCCAGAT